AAGGCAATTGAAATTCCCACAATGGCTCACTGCAGATAATACACGAATATGATTAAATCCTTTCATGGGGTGGACACGTCCGTATGGTGGGTGATTGATTGTGTTCAAGAATATTGCTATAATCTCCATGAAGCTATATGCTTTGTTTTTTCCATACTGAAATTCTTGGACCTTGCGCAACCGAGAACATCGGACAACCCTTACTGGATTTACCCTCTGGACATCATCGACATCAAGAATCAAACGAAGGAATTCACTATGGAACCTGAGGGGCTATTGACTGGGAGGTTAGCATAATTTTTACATCTCGATGTAAAAGTTATTTTTGAACGAACTGGAGAATTTATCACTACCAGACATGATAAGGCAACCTCCCTCTCGTTCAAACCTGTAAGGTTCATTAAATTTAATTCCAGCAGACCAATTAGACAGTCGATTAACATTTTGGTAGCGCAAACGGCTCTATTCATGCTCCTTACATCAGATCATAAAGCAGTCGCAGCAGATCTGAGAAGAATAATCAGGATCATGGTGGAAAATGGTGTCAATGAAGTAAAATGTATAGAGTTGGCTGTGAATATCCTTGACAATCCGCAGGATTTTCAGAATTTCAGATGCAGTGCAGAGGACACAAAGAGCGCGCTCATGGTGAGTTTACGACCCCACTAGAAAGAAATCAGGAAATATCCTATTTTGATGACAAATACTCGGATTGCCTGTGGTGTGGGTGTGTGTCTGAATATTTGTTCCATGCCTTGATTGGGGCATGGCAGAAGGTGACTGGTTGATGACTGGCCCAGAAAGGGGCTGGTGTCATACCAGTCCTTTTCTATCCAGCCATCGCCAGTAAGGAGCGGGGTGGGACACACACACACACACACACACACACACATACGGAATTTATGAAATTAATGGGAGGTCCAAAAAATAGGTAGAAATAAGCACGGAGAGTAAGAAAAATAAATCCTATTGAAACTACCTGCCAAACCAAGTTTGCCAACAGCTAGAAAACAAAAAAAAAGGGAGGCTGACGGACCTCCCGGAAAGAAAAAAAGAATAAAAGAATAAAAAAAAAAAAAAAGGTGAGAAACAACTTGCTCATGGGTCCAACCGAAGGGCACCAGCTAAAAGAAACCAAGCGGAAGGCAATTGAGGACTGGAGTCCATATGTCGTAATACTTTAAATAGGATAGGAAAAAGCATGAATAACCTCTTTGGCTCAACCTACCTTTGGGCGAACGATGTGAGAAAAAGCTATCCGACAGAACTTTATAGATTCACCCGAGGTAGTGAGTTGTTTTACGTCAACGACTTCGTCAACATCCAGGACCGTTTCCGTAGCCGTACGTGGCATTCAGCATGGACGCGCCCATGTTTTTGGAGGAGATGCTTTCCGTGCAGGACGCGGTTTTTGTAGAGGAAATGGGCGAAGTGCACGAACAGGTGAAGTCTATGCTTTCGACCTAGGTTTCACAGGATGTATGATGGATGATTTATGTATGGCTAACCTTGGTGTTCGTCATTTGCTCCAGATAAAGGATGTTTGTGCTAAGTTGTTGATGTCCTCTGATGAGTTGGCTTATGGCTGGTCAACGAAAAATGCGTTTTAGGGAGGTGGCCATGATCCCCAGCCAAGCATCCATATATTACTTTCTGTCCACCCGCTTTGAAGGTGTAATGACGGGATCACAGCTTATGTCAAACACTTGACTCCTTGTGTGTTTTTTCCGTATGAGGATATATAGTTTAGTAATTATATGCCATGGTATATGTTGTTAATCTCTTTTCGCTGCGAATGCTATGTCATTTTGTGGGTGCAAGGCACTTCTTTGGTAATTGCGTCGGAAGGACGACGTGGACAAAGCGTTTTTGGCGAAGAGAGAAGAAATATGAGCGGAACGGGGAGGTTCACGATTAAAATAGACTGAGAAGTTGATTAGGGGGAAGTTGGTAGTAGTTACACGTAGAAGCTGGTAAGTACAAAGCATTGAAGGATTGCCGAAAATATAATGATGGTGACAGGCAGTTAATCAATAACTGGCCAACTTTCACGAAACGGCGGAGTTTACATTTGGGATATGTAGACTATAGAGTATCAAGGCGGTGGAGATATCGACATGAGATGCACGTATTGCGGTTAGTGCTTTGTTTCTGGTCCCATGAACATTCGAAAACAAAGGCAGAATGCGAAATTTTCAGGAACGATTAGGAACACTCACTGATGTAAACAAATTCCTGGATAGGCAGTTTTTAAATTCGGTTGTTTTTCATGTGGGTTTTCTTTACGAAAATTGCTCTGATTTGACCTTTTCGAAAACATTCATGAAGTTTGGAGTCCATATGGTATGTGGAAACAGGACATTTTTTTTGTATCACATAAGTCTGTTTGATTCAAGGATTTGTTTGCTATACCCGAGGTTGATCACGTTTCGGAGTGCTTTACATCACTGAAGAGTAGCGTTCGCGCTTAACGTACGTACACACACAACTACGGGGAGCTTTTGCACTCGTAGCGTACTTCCCAAGGCTGAAAACCTTGGTCGATTCTGTCTCTCTTCCCGAATAGGGGTAATTGCTAATAATCTTTTGAAAATATCAAACATTATTATCTCATGTGCAATGAGAGAATACTTATCGGTCGCATTTCCTACCTCAATTTTGTGGGCTTGTGAATGGATGAACACAAGATCAACCGGACTATGCCTTCATGTGGCTTCCGGAGCTAATCCAAGGGGAGAACTCATGGCTGAGCCAGTTCCACGCACCATCAAGGCAAACCCAAGCTCTCATGGCAATTGCGCAAAAGCAAGTCATGGCCTTGGTACGTAGAAGATCGGAGTTTCCGGCACTAGAAGTGCTCCCGCTGGTATTGTACATGAAGTTCAATGACTGGGCCAAGCTGATTTACACCTACAATTATGCGAGACCCAAATTCGTTGACCTGATCAACAATTTGACGAAGAGGACTTGCCAGTGGAAGGTGGAGGACGACGTCGAGGGGAAGAACGCGGATCAGCTTATGATACGAGGAGAGGCAGTATTCTTACAAATGTGGGGAGCGGAGTCGGCTTTCCATAAAGCCCGCAAGACTGAGCAGGCACCTGTGAATATTTGCGAAGCGAAGGGAGACGAGGAGGATGAGATTACGGAGGAGGAGAGACTTTACCTGAAGAAGAAGAAGGCGGAGTGGTCGAAAGCCAAGTTGTCCGCAGGGAAGGAGAAACGGAAGGTCTCAGCATATGGAGCGGGGTCTAGAAATGCGTTCTACCCGCTTGCATCTAACAGGTGGGTGGAGGCGATGAGCAGAGCTCTGAAGGGTAAGATCTGGACCTTGGAAACTTAGAACTTCCTTGGGCCAATCGATGTGAGAGGGTACGCGCTACTTGCAGCCGTATGTCAAGATGAGGTTAGGGAGTGCTTTGATCGCGCAATGAATATGATCACTGCTCCACCAGATGTGAAGTTCCTCTTCCATGGTGATGAGGTGTGTCTTCCACGCATGAGTGTCATGGACGGCAGGAAATGCTCATCTGCGGAGCCTGTTGTCTCAATCAAAGGTCCAAAACCACTGCAGAATCTAGCCCAGCTTCCGGAGTTGAAGCTCATATGGAATGTCGGAAGACTATACGTTAAGTGTAAGTGTGTCGTATCTGGGAGGGAGGACTGTGGAAAGGGACCTGCGTGGTTCGACCACCT